TGACATAAAATGTCATGTCGGAGTCAGAATCCAAGGCTGTCACTATGTTAAGGCTGTTTTTATGGGTTCCGTTCTTTTTTCCTAAAAACTTGTCGGACAGCAGGTTTTGGATTGTTAAGGGTCGGATTATCGAGTCATGACAGTATTATAAAAATTAGTTATCAATGCAGAACATGGTGTTTGTTGTCCTGCCATTCTCAACAGCTGGAGTTACCTGTAAGTTAGTTCTTGAGACATTTTTATTTTCTCATCCAGTCAATGCAAAACCAATCGGGTGCTTTTCCGTGTATGGGGCCTTTTGACCTTTTAGCCCGACCCGTCTCGACCGATTCGCCAAAATGCATTTTAAAACCAAGCGTAAACACCGTCATATCGTTCTGTTTCGACAGCTTTGGAAGTGTCACACCCGACTCTATCAGCCTTGTGATCAAAGATGAAAAACGACCAGACGAACATCAGCACTTTGAGTCTTAAGGTGCTTTTTAGATGGAATTATTTGTGCCTCGATCCTGAGATCCTGATGGGACATTTTGATTAGAGGTCGTGGCCATTTTTTCTTGCTTTCACATGAATTCTATTTTGCAGAGGACAATATAATATTAACAAACAAAATCAATTCTGTGCTCATCAATCTGTTTGCTCGCTTGGCGTCCACAATAACATGACTCCAAATTCATGGATGTGTTAGTGGGCAAATGTTTTCTAACAAGGTGGTAAAATCCCCTAAAAAGTCACTAAATCTCCACATTTTTTAACCTCAAGTGGACAAAAAAAAGGATAAACACTGTCTAAAGTACTTGTGTAGTTGTGGTGTGTGCCTGCTCACCACACCCCAGTGCTTCCTTGCTTTCCTAGGTTGTGGTTTAATAGACTTTTTGTTTAGAAAAGCTCCTAACTGAGTGAAATAACCTGGAAGTATTCAAGTGGCAGCCATGATAAGTTAAACTCTAAGGATCGGTGCTGCACTGCTTCCTTTCTTATCTCCTGTTGCGTAGGATACACTTGTCCATCTTTTAAAACATAAAAGAAGAAAATGTCACAACATCCTCACCAGACTTTCTTCAAAAACGTCCTTATAAAGTTCTCCTTCCTTCCTTGACCTTGTGACCTTTTGCTTTAAAGAATTTAGAGAAACACAAAGGGTATCTTCTTTTTTTTTTTTTTTGACTTTTCAGCTGCAACCCTAGAACTAGATAGTCCTACTTGAGGTCTGATTGGAGACAAAATTCATGAGCAATTACCTCCAATTGGCTAGATTTGAGACGGTTTTAAGTGGCTAATACCAAACACAGCTATATTTATTGAGCACAAAAGTCAAACAGGGAATAATTTCACTACTCATGTGCTGTCAAACTGTCTTTATCTGAGCTCAGGATCGTTGCAGATACATAATGTCCTACTTTAACTCTACTGCTGTTTGCTGTTTAGGAGTCAGTTTGAGCTGGTGAAGAACAAAAACATTTCCACTATGGGGCAAGTGCAATGTTGGAATCGAGGGGTGTGGCGATATACCGGCCAAAATGTTTAACATTGAAACCATGTTGATAACGCACATATGATGATGATAATAATAAAACCATAAATGATCCAGTGCCAGTAACTGTCTGGTGGACTAGTAGGTGGTCGTGTGGCACCTTAACGCTGGTTTCCACCAGTTATACAACAGAGTAAGTAACTAGATAGCTGCTACCACATCATGTGACTACTACGCAGAATTATGTCGTAGGAGATGAGAGCGAGTCACTCTCTCTCTCTTTTTTGTCAGATTTTCTATAGATATTGAGATAAAGTCATTATCGTGAACTCTTTTACCCACGATAACAGAGTAGTAAAAACCTGGTATCGTGACAGCCCCCAGCTGAGATGCCTCAAAGTTCTCACATTACAGGACGTGAGTGGTGTTCGTGGTGGTGTTTTGTTGGTGAAGTGGCATTATGTTGAGGTGATGTGAAGGAGAGAAGCTGCTACTTTGGCTGGAACCGTTTGGGTGATTTATTCAGTTGTTGTGTTTGAAAGGCCCTTAAGATGCTTGACAGAGCCAGACGTGAGAGTGCCATACGCTGAGGAAAAGGACCTTTAAGTTTCCAGAGAAATGCAGAGGGACCTGGGCTGACGATTGTAGGAGTTGCCTTCGATGCTGCTTAAAAAAAATTTAAAGAAAACTCGGCCGATTCCTTTGACCGTAATCTTTGACAGAGTTCTCGAGGAGGAGGAATATTCGGGGGAGAGTAAACGAAAACAAGTGTCTATCAAGAAGACAGCACTATTTATGTCCCTGCTTTATTTTCTTCCTTTTCCACCATGTTGAATAAATGTTCTATCATTTTCTAATAGCAATATTTAAGTGTAAAAAGTGTACATAAAAAGCTATGTTTCAAATACTTCTCTGGGCATATGGATGTGTCTGTGATTGTCCTTTGGTTTCTTGATGTCAGCACCCATAATGCATTCGGTTCTACGTAACGACACACAACACTCTGGTCATCTAGTGTTTTTACATGCGGGTTTCTTGTACAAAAAAAAAAACAAAAGAAGAAAAAAAAGTGTTCCTGTTGATGAATAACTCCAAAACGGTGCCGCATGAAATCTGCATTTTTCTCCCCCCCCATCACCAGTCTTATCAACGCAATACCGATCTGTCCATTTCAACAAAGTCATGACGCGTGTGTTATCGTATAATTGTGCTACGAGAGGAGACTTTTTGCCTTCACTTAAGCCTCCGCTCTCTGTTTTTTGCTATTGATGCACCTTCAGAAACTCATCGTCAATAAACTTGGCATGTGTCCATCGATATACCCATCCCACGCATCTGATATAGGTGTTCGACATCCTCCTGTGTTTGACTCGCACACGAAACACTCCTCTTCATGAAACGGTTCGTTGCCTCATGCCACATGTTCATATGTGTTTGGACATCACGTTTTACAGAATGTTTTGATGTGTTGACTCACAGTTCGGGCCCGGGTGTAACATTTCCTTTAGTTATGTTTCCTTTTTTAGGGAAAATAAAACCTGATTCTTTCAGTTGGCTAAGAAGAGGTCACATTTTTCTTCTCTGTTAACGATGCTTATGATTTTCTTTGCCTTATTTTTGAACATACACTATATATTCCAATATTGAAGGTTTTCTGTAAGTTTATTTTTTCTACAACTTTTTGGCTGTATTCTTTCACTGCGTTAGAATCAGAATATGCAAACATTTCATGTAAATTTCCCATCCAAAGATTTTGAAAGTAAATATATAAAAAAAAAATTCAATATAATGTAATACCTGTTTTACTTGGTAATAAAGAAGAGGAAATATGAAACCTGTATCTCCCTCTCTTTTGTTCAAACATATAAAAGCACACTTTGGGCACATAACATAAGCCTAAATGTAAAATGACCCTGAATCCACAGTTTTGTTATGAGTGCGTTATTTGTCATGATTTATTTCCAAAGCTTCATCGAGGTTAACTGGATTATCTGAGAGGAAAGGGCACGGTGCTGAAATGTTAGAAGATGATTTCACCGCAATTTCAACTTCATCGGTTTTTGAAGTGTTGCCTTAAAGACTGATGTTCAAAGACATTGAGCTTCTCAAGAAAGAAAAAGTAGAACACCGGCAGTTCCATAAAAACCTGGCAAAGTGAGTTTAATATGATTGAAAACAGCTGCTGAATAGAACTTGAGGTGAGATTGTTTTTCAACTTAACCCTGAACCTCAGATTTCATGTTAAAGGTCAGGGTCGAACAATTAAAAACCAGTTATTAGCAATGAAGACGACAAGTAGCTGATATTTGGAACTGATATAAGTTTTCAGTAGAAGTGAAAATGTTGGAAGAACACAAACTACAGCACAAAATGTCATGGAAATGCCTTTGTTTAATTCATGTTTTCTATATGTTAAAATCAAAGAGCTTTTTGACTTTTATCCATCAGTACTGATAGACTGT